CCAATTTGCTCCCCTCTCCCAACCCCCACCGGGCCCGAGGCACCAGCACCCACCACAGCTCCAGGGGATGCTGGGGGGTCTCTGCTGGCTGCAGGGGGGGGGGTTCCCCTCCTCCACATCCAAAAGGGGGTCCTGCCTTCCTAGCCCCCTTCCCAAAGGAAAAGTAACTTTTGGGTGCAGTCAGGGGAGATTGTGGCTCCATCGGTGCCCCCAGGGCTGGATGCTGCTGGCATCACTTTGTCCCCATGTCACCGTGATGCAGCTGGATCCTTCTGGCTTGTCCTTGGATCATGGTGGGACTAGGGCTGCTGTAGGATCAGAGGAGAAGCAGGAGCTGTTTCCCACAGGCAGGGTGGATGCTGAAGGCTGGCAGGGCCTGGGGACTGTCACCTTGGCACATCCCTTGGGCTGGGCATGCTCAGCACCCAGGGCTGGCCAAGCCTGGAGCCAGGATGGGGTTTGATGGATGTGATGTGACAGGGAGGGCTGATCTTGGGTGGCTGGAACGGCTCCTGAGCAGCATCAATCCAGGCGTGATGAAAAGTCCTTGTGGATTGAAATGCCACTGGTGGGGAAGTGCCTTTCTCTCTGCCACTGGAAGCCACCACCATGGGGTGAGGAGGGTGCCGTGGAGGAAGGCTTGGCCATGGCATGGAGTGCTGTGCTGTGGAGATGGGGCTGGAGGCCTTCATGCTGGCTGTGGTGGCTCCCCCAAAATTGGACTTAAGGGTGGGCACCAGCCTGAAGGATGGAGATGTGGCTCTGTCACCTGCCAGCAGCCTGGTGTCCCTTCCTGGGGGCTCAGATGGAGGCAGCATCCCTGTCCCCATGGGGCAGTGGGGGCAGAGACCTGGCTCAGCTGTAGGAGGGTGTTTGCAGGGTTTGTCACTGTGTGTCATCAGGAGGGTTGGAGGCACCTCACCTGGGTAACACGTGGGTGCCTGAGGCTGTAGGGATGCCATTCCCCAGCCACCAGCACCCTCGGGGTGGCACCCAGGGGGCTGGCAGCTGAGCTGTCCTGCCTGCACAGGCAGGGACAAGGGGCTGGCAGGAGCCTGGGGAGCAGGGGGGGAGCTCCAGGGATGGCCCAGGGATGCAGCAGGATAAGAGCTGGGATGCAGCAGAGAACACCCTGGTCTGGCTTTTGAGCTGGGTGCGCAGTGACCGAGGGTGCCAGCACCCATGTGTGGGTGGGGGTCTCTTTCCCCCCGGGCTGATGGCTGTGCTTGCCCACAGCAGCAGCCCGTGGCCTGTGAGAACAGCGAGGACAGGAGCATCACCCGCGTGGACGAGGGGCTGGAGGAATTCTTTGCCAAGAGGCTCATCCCACAGGAGCTGCCGTAAGCCTGGGGGGGGGTGGGGGGTGGGGGGTGTGCCTGGGACCCCTGCACCCACCCAGCCCCAGACAGACAGCCCCCTGCCCACCACCTTCACGCACTGCTGGTCCCAGTGCCAGAGGGATGGCTGGGGAAAATGTCCATCCTCACAGCAACACCCAGCTCATGTGTGTCCCCTCCCCAAGGTCAAGGTGGGTGGGACAGGACTGGGGTGCAGCCATAGGGTGCAGGATGCTGCCAGCCCCCCTTGGGGGCCCTGGGGAGGGGGCTCTGGGCTCTGTCCCACAGCAGGGAGGCAACAGGGCAGCCCCACGTTGGGGCTCTTGCCATGACAACCTTGTCTCCAGTGGGGGGAGGGAGGGAGTTGAATCCATCCCTTTGGGATGAGCAGGGGGAAAAATGTGACCTAGGCAGCCTGGAGCTCACTTTTGCCACTGCTTCATCTCTCCCCAGCCCTACAGCTCCGGAGACCCCCCCGGGCTCAGCCCCTCTGGCCCCTTCTGGCTCCCGCACCTTCAAGAAGAAAATCGGGAATTTTTTTGCCTTCAAGAAACCAAAGTCCAGTCGGGGCTCGAGGTGTGAAAAGGAGCCCGAGGGTGGTCCCAGGAGCCGGCGCTCGATGCTCAGTGACATTTTACGTGCCCCCAGCAAGGCGGGCGAGGGGAACAAACCCCTGAGTAAATCCGAGGAGCTGGGGCTGGCGGCCGAGCCCAAAAAAGGCCCCCCGACTCGGCCCGCAGGATCCGTCCCAAGTACTCCCGGGAGGGCAAGTCCCAGTCGCTCATCTTGCTGCCCGGGGAGGAGGAGGATGCCCTGGGGGTCAGGCATGACAAGGTAAGCACTGTCACCAAACCAGCTGGCTGGGTGGGTGCTGCTTCCACCCAAAGGTGCCAGCGCTGGGGTCGACTGGGCGCCCCGGTGGGATGTGGGGACAGCACAGCCATGGCTGGGGGTGTCCCCGCTGGGTTCTGGCTCTGAGGGGCTCCCCCAGGAGGCACGGTGGGGGAGCTGGGTGGCCCACGGGTGGGTGCTGTGGGTGCTGTGCCCTGGCAGGGCCGTGTCTGTCCCGCAGAGGAGGCCCCTGGGGACGAGCGAGGCGGG